GAACAGGAGAGGAGGAGAAAGGGAAGAAGGAAAGAATGGAGAGGAATGAAAGGAGGGGGGATAGGAGAGAAAGAGGAAGGGAAGGATTGGAGAGCAGGAAGGGAGAAAAGAAAAAAGGGAAGAGGAGCGAAGCGAAGGGAGGGAAGGAGCCCCTTTTATCCATAATACATCAGCAGAATAAAAGTAGGCATTTTCTGGATTTTTGATGCGCTGTGCCCCAAACGTTCCCCATCCCTGGTCTAAATGATCCAATCCTCAGGCTGGACTGCAAATGGGCTGTTCTCCGCCATTGCCCAGTGGGAAGTCTGGCTTCGAATGCTACCGGCTCTGATCTCCAGGTCTTATGGGTGGCCACAAAGGGAAGGAAGCTGAGATTCCAGGATGTTTGTAGAGTCTGTTTCCTCATCTGATCAGCTTCAAAGGGCTTAAAACACACATCTCAAAAGACTTGGAAAACCTAGAGCTACTCCATAAATCTCTTCCCAATTTTTCTTTCCTTGCCTAAAATCTTACATACCTGTTGGCATCCCGCTGACAGCTGGTTCATTCTGGTTGAAGGGCTGTGACTGCAGTCAATGGGAACTGGGTTTTATTCTTTATAAACATCTCACCTTGTGTCAGTGCAGCTGTTCTGACCCAGCTCCCCAAACACAACAAACCCTCTGAAGTGAACTCAACAGATTCCTTTATTCGGAGCACCAGGAGCCCCGGGAAAAAGTTTCTCTCTCAACGCAGGCTAACAAGTCCGTCCAGCAGGGAGGTGAACAGCTGTGTGCCACCCCTATTCATCTCCGCCCCCATGCTTTTCATCCCCAGAGGTAGGGTGGGGCTGTAATAGCAGCAGTGGCCCTTCCATCCCAAGGACCAGCCCATAGATTTCCACTGCTCTCCTCTCTGCTCCGCATCCACTTGTCTGGCACTGGACCCAGCTGTTCCTCCTCTTCTTCATCAGCCGCCTCCAGACCTTGGGGGTGTTGACAACTGAAGGCTGGCGGACGGCTCAGGCTCCACCTGTCTCTCTCTCTCTCTGCCAACTCCATTCCCTCTTCCCCCTCAGAGCTCCCAGGTTGCCCTGATGATGACCCTGACTCCCACCCTTCCTCCTCCTCCTCCTCCTCCTCCTCTGATTCGGCTGCCGGAGGGGCCGGCGGCCGACAGGCCACAGCAAGCATCTCTGAAAAGTTGCCTAGAAATCGTTCAGGATGACCTGAGCAGTTTGATATACAAATAAATAATATCATTCCTGGTTTTTTTCAATTGTCAGGGTAAAAGAGCTGAAGAGAGGGATGAAATCTTGCACCCCTATTGTCAACAGACCCCGAGCAGCAGGACACACGTCCCCTAAGCGTATCCAGAATTCTCCTTACGTCCAAGTTGGAGGGAAAAGCTCTCCCAAAAAAGTCAAGCTGGCGATGCACCCCCCTCTGATGCCGACCCCCTTGTCCAAGACGAAGACCCCTTTGCTGCTTCAGCCAGCTCACCACCTTCCGTTCTCCTCCACTCCGAAGGGACAGGGGCGCAAAGAACCTCTGGGAGCCCCGTGGCCCAGTTGCGCCGGCGCAGAAAGAGGGAACCCGAAGACGGAGGCGTCATCCAAGTTGCTGGCGGAGGAACCCGCGGTCACGTCCGAGAAAAGTCGCTTCAGGAAGGACTCGGGGGCCAGGAGAGAAGGTGGCCAGGAGGACAGGCAGAGGGTGGGGTGTCCGAAAGTCGATCCGGTGCAGAAGCAACTGGTTTCCAGGGCTGATTTTTCCCACCATGGCTCGGATCACGAGGAAGATCCCGGGAGACCCTTTGCGGATCAGTGCGTGGCAGCCTGGACGGGCGCGTCCTCCCAACAGAAAGACCGAGAGCAGCACCTGCGGCTTTATCACCAGCAGTTCCAGCAGCCTCCTCTCCACCAGCAGAAATTAAACTACCAGCCCTTGGAAAAGTTTTTAGCTCGGTACAAGTCCCAGGAGGTCCAAGTGAGGCCGGAGGCCCCATGCCCTGACTCCGTGTCCCCTCAGGGCCGGGACGAAACCATGCAGCTCGAGGAATTGGACGACAGCGACTTCAGCGAGGACTCTTTCTCTCCCGGCCCCGGTCGGAAGAAGGTGGAGAGGGAAGCTCGAAAGCAAAGCAGCCAGAACTCTTTTTTCCTCCATCGGAGAGATTTCGGGCTCCAAGAACGGGACGGAGAAGACGAGCAGGAGCTGTTTTGTCAATGGTACGCGTTTGAGACGGGACGAAGAGCGCTACCGAGCGAGGAAGAGTCCGGTAGCTACGAGGAAGGCGGTAGAAGTTTGTGTGATTGGAGCTCAGGAGAAATATTGGCAGCGGGTTCCTCACCTCACAGGGGTGTCCCGGAGAAACCTTATTGCTCGAAGGAAGGTGAGAAGATAAACCCTCAAGAATCGCCCGTGGAGCAGAAGCCGCCGAGATGCTCGGATCCGTCGATGCTCGGTTGCCCCGATGGACACTTCTCCCCGCCAAGGAAGAGAACGCAAAGCCCGCCTCTCGCTGCCATTTTGCCATCTTTCCTCCCCAAAGGAACAGGCTTTCGCGGAGCTTTAGACTTTCCCATGGGCCCGGCTGATGACGCGATGACACCTCTGTCCGCCTCCTTCCTGAACTTGGGACCAGCAGAGAGCAAGGGGAAGAAGAGGATTGACGAAGAGGACGTCTTTGGGCCCAGCGGGTGCTGGGAGGAAGACACCGGGCACGCTGCGTCCAGCGTCTACGAGATAAATTGCTGGGGTAGAAAAACCGAGCCGGGTCTTTCTCCGGGGGTCAAATGCCAGCGGCTTCCTCAGTCTTGTGGCTGTCCGGGCGAAGCTGCCATCTTGGAAGCCACATCGGCGTTTGGTGAATGTATCTGTGGCTACACTAGTGAAAGTCCTGTGGACGAACTCCTCCCTCGGCACACGGAGGAAAGGGCCTCGCTTGGCGGTGACCTACAAGCAAGTGAATATTCAACCCTCCGCGACTCCGATCTCGAAGTGGCAAAGATTGCCGTTTCGTGGAGCTATTCAGACCATCTGGGTTTGCGGGGAAAAGAGAGCCCTGAGCCTTTGGCTCCCGTTAGTCCTGTTGATAAGGGAGGGATACCTTCCCCCCCGAATGCTTTGCCCAGTTCTGAGAATGCAGGGAAGGAACAGCTCTCAGAACGAAGCCCCCCGTCACGCTCGGAGTTGTCCCCCTGGACAGTGGAGCTGCGGCGTTCGGAAGAAGCCCGCGGGAAGGAAGACGCCCAGGATACGCACAGTGGTGAGGACACAGAGCAGGACTCGAGGGCTGAATCCAAGGGGACGGTGGCTGAAACTGCAAAGAACTTGTGGAAGGCTTGTGGGCCGATGGAGTTGGCTGAAGGTGGCCTGAAGGAGAAGGACGTGCTGGGAAGGTGAGTAGAGAGATAGGTGGATAGATAATAGATGGATGGATATGGTAATAGGTGGATAGATAGACAGACGATATATAGAGATTAGGTAGGTAGGTAGGTAGGTAGACAGACAGACAGAAAGATATAGATGGTATTTATACATGATAGACACATAGGCAGGCAGATGAGAGGTAGGTGGGTAAGTAGGTATAGGTAGGTAGGTAGGTGGGTAGATAGATAGATAGATGATAGATAGATAGACAGACAGACAGATTTCTGAGATAAATAAGATGGTAATGGATAGATAGATAGACATATAGATGGATGGATGGATAATAGATGGATAGACAGATAATGGATGGATAGATAAGTGTTAGACAGATGACAGATAGATAAATGATTGATAGATGATAGATAGATAGATAGATAGATAGATAGATTGAATAACTTTTTATTGTGAACTTTGATGTACAGTAATTGGCATATGTTAAAATGAAATTTCATTGCATGCAGCTCTCAAAGGGTCACCATCTCCAATATACACGACATAAACAGGACAACATAAATAAATACATAAAAAATTATGCATAGTTTTCTGGATCCTCCTCTTTTCTGATGGGAGGACAGACTGAGGAGGCTGCTGTTTTCAGGGAGCACATTGTGTTGCGTTCCCCCAGCAAAGCATCTCGGATTGATTGAACTTTGCTTCTGCCAAAAACATACTGTTAGGCAATTATTGAGTATCAATGCAGGCATTACAACCGCAATTGAGCCTTCATGTGGTTCATTAAGAGGTTTGTTAAATGGGTTTTGCCCCATTTTTACGACCTTTCTGGCCACAGCTGTTGAATTGAATTGTATACTTTATTTGGCCAAGTGTTATTAAGACACCCAAGGAACTTGTCTCTGGGACAGAAGCTCTTAAGGGAATCACTGCAGTCATTAAGTTAGTCACACGGTCATTAAGTGAATCTGGCTTCCCCATTGACTTTGCTTGCCAGAAGGTCGCAAAAGGGGATCACGGGACCCCAAGACACGGAAACAGTCATAAACGTGAATCAGTTGCCAAACGGCCCAATTTTGATCACAGGACCATGGGAACGCTGCCATGGTGGTAACTGAAAATCTGTCATAAGTAACTTTTTCAATGCCGTTGTAACTTTGAACAGTCACTAAGCAAACCATTGTAAGTCGAGGACTCCCTGTGCAGAGATCACAGATATTTTTAAGAGTTTTGTCCCAGATCCTGATGAATGAGAGGCTTTGACTGCTCAAGTTGGCCATCGAAGATAGTTGGCTGGTGAGGCAGCCTATCATGCAGCCCACACCTGAGAGCTGATAGTGGCTGATGATCCTTGAAGTGACTCCAGGTATTCCTCCATTTTTTGACCACAGTGGGAATCAGAATTTCTGTCGCTAAGCAAGGCATGTTGTGGCCTGCTGGTGGCCAGTGGAGCTGGCAGCAGAGTCGGACAGTGAGGAGGTTGCGGAGGAACCTGGGCCAGTCCTGGAGGCTGAGGAAGGCTCTGCATCAAAGGCAGAGATGGGGCCAGGGCAGGCTGGCAGTCATCAGCTGCCTTCGGGCTCAGACAGCAGTGAGGAGGAGGAGCAGCTGGAGCCGGTTCCCAGCCTGCACATGCGCAGAGCTGTCAAAAGAAAAGAGCAGTTACGAACTCAGGATTGATGTGGGAGTAAAACCACAGGTGGACGGTGAATGGCCCCTCCCATGGGGATTAAATGAGGAGCAAAAGGGGAGGGGGCTATTGCAGGAAACCATTCATTCATTGCAGCATCTGTGAAGGTCTGTCTGTGCATCTCAGAGACTCGTGCCGAGTCCTTCCTTGTCAGCACTGCGTTTGGAAATAGTTGCTTGGCAGCTCTCCAGGCTAGATCAGGGCTGGGCTCCTAATTACACCCTTGGAAGACTATTTGCTAGGCCTTTGGCTGAAGGTGGATGCAAGAAGTTCACCTTCATTGAATAAAAGGGGTTTTGCCGGGACAAAGAGTCTGCTTAGGGCTTTTGCGGGGGAAGCCGAAATCAGAACAAAGCAATTGAGTGGGTCCTGCACAATTTTAGACACATTTTCCCATAGCTGTAAAATGAATCGCTGAATCGAACCCTGTTGAATTTGCTGGTCAGAAGCCAGCTGGGAAGTCCAGGGGTGACAATCATGGGACACAGCAACTGTCATCAAACCACACCAGTTGCCAAGGGTCTAAATTTCGTGCGATTGTGGGGACTCTGTGAGGGTCCTAAGTCCAAGGGACCCTTTTGTCAGGATTCCAAGTAATAAATCCATTGCAAGCAGAACTCCGAGGCAGGTGGATTCCTCAAAAGGAGATCTGTATTGGAAACTAGCTTGATACCCGTGTGCTTCGCTATGAAACTACGTGGTCGGGCTTAGTTTTCGGGGAGGAAAATAAGGGGGGGGGGGAAATTCTGCCTCTGCCTACCAGCATCATCGGGATTCATCTGGCTAGCATCCTGTCAGTGTTTGAGAGAGTTGAGGGTGTTTGGAAACTGAAACAGTATTTACTGTGTGAGCAAGGAGACAGCAAGGAGCCTGGGCGTGGCTTAGCTCAACTGTTCTGTACTCAAGCTGATTGGTGCTCTGAAACTAAAACTGAAATTCCTCTGCTTGTGTTTTGCATTTGGAAGAGATTTCTTTTCAGGTGGGGAGGGGAAGTAGAACTCCTTAGCATCAGAGCGTGTTAATAATAATAATATGCGAAATATTAATGCTCTGATGGTCATTTGGAAAAATCCTTTCTTAGTGAGCCCCTAGAAGCCAAGAGGAACCTATGTGCCCAATTTCAAGTTTGTAGGCTTTACGGTTCTGGAGATTTTGTGATGATGCGTGAGGGGTATTTTGCTTTTATATAGAGAGATCTGGTGAAAACCGACCGAAGGTTCTCGTGGTTTTCACCTAATTAAAAGTTTTTCCAGTTTCTCAAAACAGTCAGTCACATGGTCCAATCACATCTCGGTCTGGTTGCTTGGTGACACCTCTCCTCCTGCCTCTGACCAGGTGTGAGAATGACCTTGGTTCCCAAGAGACATTATTTTGTTTTGGCTACAGAGTCCCAGCTATCTCTATTCCCCGCTCCCTATCCCTCAGCTCCAGTGGGGCAACACTTGACGCCTCAAAATGGCTTCGGTCAAGTCAGCTTCAGGGTTGACACCCATCATGTCACTTTTTTCACTGCCGTTGTAACTTCGGATGGTCGCCAAGTGAACGGTTGTTAAGTTGAGGAGTCACCCGTTAAGGCAATTTGGTCAGAGAGCTCTCTTTCCTTGTCTCCAGCAGGCAGCTGGTTCTTCAAACCCATCAGGAGCAGCTGGAGGAAATGGCCGCCCTGTCTTCTCGGGAGGAAAGCTTGATGGGCATGATGTCAGATTTGGTGAGTCTTCTGAATGGGTTTTCCAGGCCTCTCCAAGCTTGGCTCAGTGGGTCCTCCTGACCCACCATGTTATCTCTTAGACCAGGGGTCCCTGACCCCCAGGCCATGACCCCAGGACTGGGCTGTGGCCCGTTGGGAACTGGGCTGTTTAAGAAGCAACTGGGCAAGAAGTAGCGGGTGGAAATTTAATCACGGAGAAAAGCAACCTAGAACTAAGGAGGAATTTCCTAACAGTGAGGACAATTTATCAGTGGAACTACTTGCCTCCAGAAGTTGTGGGTGCTTCATCACTGGAAGTTTTTAAGAAGAGGTTGGATAACTATTTGTCTGAAATCGTATAGGGTTTCCTGCCTAAGCAGGGGGTTAGACTAGAAGACCTCCAAGGTCCCTTCCAACTCTTATTCTGCTATTCTTTTTCCTTCCTTCCTTCCTTCCTTCCTTCCTT